GAGGAGGAGGATGAGGATCTTGTGATTGAATTCTCTATTTTATACTACTTTTTTCACAAAATTGTCTAACAACTTTCTGGCAATATTTATATATTTAGAGTGGTTTGGACTAAGAAGTAAAATCATTTCTACATTCAAACCAAAAAAATGTTTCCAATGTTCAGTAGTCAATACATTTTTAGTTACGATAGTTCCAACATGCAACAAAAGCAACCGGAACTCTGTTGCCTTCCAACGATTCACTTCATCTAGCTTACGAGTTTTTCTTGCAAACTCACACGGAATATTAACTTTAATATTTTCAAGTTGCATTGATATTTCTTTTATTTTCCACGAAGGATATCGAATACTAACCGGACCTTTAATCCACATTAGAATTAATTTCCGAACAACACCGATTCACACTAAATGCATGTAATCTAGTGAAAAATCAGATACCCCGTCAAATAAAGGTAATGTGGATATAAGAAATACATCACCAACATGATGGTCTTCATTGGATTGCATTACATAATTTTGATGTGTCCTTTTAGGTGGACATTTTGAAGGCGAAGTGAAAGGAAAAAACATTCTGTTTGATAGATATTTACCTTCATGTTCACATCTTGAACAAGAAAAAAATCCAGAATGTCCCTTAGTTTTTAACAAAAATGATTTTGCCGGTGCATCACAGTAAAATGTATCAATATACAGATTATACACCTTATTATTAATACAAATACCTGTCTCTTTTAATAATTGTACCTCATCAATAAATGATTTAACAAAACTGTTGCTATCAGACGGTTTCATTTTGCCACAATAAAGTCCAACTAGAAATACTTTATTATTTTCTGGACGAATGTATGCTAGTATAGGCCAAAATTGTTCTGGATTACTTTTGAAAATTGGTAAACCATCAACTCCTACCACAAGATGGATATCGGTATCATCMGTCAAACATTCTGGAAAATTGTTTTTAATTCCATTCAATAAACCAAAATGGTGATATGCTCCAGATTTAACAGTATCAAAACTATAAGGCACAACAGTTTTTGATTGTAAAATAGTCCTTGAATCTTTAGGTAAATCTTTAAAGCATTTATGTTGTTTTAAAAAAACTAATAATTTATTTAATGCATTTTGTGGAATATTAAAGTCAATAGCCCACTCAGCAATACATGTACGAAAAAGAAAAGATTGATCACATAATGTTGTTTCATCTGTACAATTATCTTCAGATTCTTCAGTTTCTGACGATGATGAAGTCAATATGCTTGATTTTTTATCTAAAAGCTCAAAAATCAAGTCTAAATTATCTATTTCTTGAGCAATTAGATTGGGCGGAGATTTGTCGAATGTCTCATTTAATTGCATAGAAAATGATTGATTAGAGCAAATATTAGTGTTTGTTTGAAAATATTTACTGTTTTTTTATGTAGTTGGACCGTTATTTAAATCACCCATAAAAATAGCTCCATTGTCGTTTTGCAATTCTTCTTGGATTCGTCTTCTTTTTGATCGACCACTTAAATGTGATTTTTTTTCAAAATCCATCTCATAAAATCTGTGCCTATAGTAAAAATTAAAATAGTGGTTCCTCAACCATGCCAATGAATCCTTACTGTAATTATTTTTAACTACATTTATGCCATTCAAGTATTAATTTTAACAAATTTAACTTCTATACATGTTGTTACAAAAAATAAATTGTGATTAATTTTATTATTATACATATCATTAAAAAAAGATTGTAAATGTTTCAAAATAATATTCCAATATAATGTGTTATTATAATATAAGTATAATATGAAATTAATTTAAATATGTAGCTACCTCAATTATAAAATTTAATAAAATATTTAATTCACTTGCAAGGGCGCCCGCAGGTGAAAATTCAGGGGGGGACAGCCTTAATTTTTATAAATAATCAAACACTTTTATACTAATTCAATACTTTTATTAATAATCAAACACTTTTATACTAATTAAATACTTTTATTAACTAATTGAACACAAATTGCAATTTTATTTTATTTTTCCCAAATTCATCAACAACTTTTTCAGCTAAATNCTCTTGAAGTAATGATAATAAAAAAAATCAGAAATTTGTATATAAATTGTGGTAATATGGTTATCAATAACCCAAAAGGCTACGACCGTATACCCGCGTATTTGTTTTATTTTTTTTCCTATACGCATTTAAGAATTTTAGCATTTCGGGTATACGCCGTATACCCGCGTATACCCTCCACTACACCACTGGACTACAACCGGTGCAGCTGATAGAGGACGACTAGGTATTTGTACGGGTGTTACAAAAGTAATCAACTTTGATTTACCAACAACCATTCCAACATACTTGCGAAGAGTTGGAAGCACCGGTCGGTTGAAAAATCTTGGTCCGACCGTCTCTTTTTATAATCCGGAATATGATTATGCCATTGAACCTTCTCTAATAAATTGAAATGCTTAGCATGGTAAATTAAACTTACCCACACAGCAAAATTATATTTTAAAAATATTGTGAAAATATTGTTAGTACAAATTTAAATATTTGATTTAGATTGTTACAATATTTAAAAAAATTGCCAAAATATTTTAGAAACATTTTTTGGCAGGTGATTAAACGTTTTCACAATATTATAGCTATATATTTTCATAATATTGTAGCAAAATATTTTCACAAAATTACCACTATATATTTTCACAATATTGTAGTGATATATTTTCACAAAATTGGGCCTATATATTTTCACAATGTTTAATTTATGCATTTTCAAAATATTTGGTATCAAATATTTCTAAAATCGTTTATCTATTATAATAAAGTATAAAATAATATTATATATTATTAATTATGATACTCAATACCTATTATAACAGACAAGTACCACAAATATTGTTTAGTCATCTAAGTATCTAACCAATAAATTATTACAAACGTATTGTAATATGTATCTTATTTATTTAATATTGTAGTTTAATCAATCAAATAAACTGTAAACAATTTTATTTTGGATATCCCAAACATATCATATGTTACATATATGCATGCTATAAAGTATAAGCCAAAGATAAAATAGGAGAAATTAAGATTCAATTATAATAATAAGGTTAAAAAAAAATGATGATTTATTAATAATTATTAAAATATTTATTTATATCATAAATATATATTATTAATTAGTATTATTCATTTTAAGCTTTTTTATTTTTTCTCTTTGACTTGCTTGGGCCATCCAATTTTTCAATGGTTTTTCGATGTCARCGTTAGGTACTTCAGAATATCTTTTAATTGAACGTATTGATTCTAAACAAATATATAAATTAAAATTTTTAAAAACATATATATATATACACATTTATTGTGGAATTATAATAATATGTGTAACATTATATTATATAGTAGGTATGTTTGTAAACATAAAAATTTTTTAAGTTTTGAGGTACATTTTTATTAATTTTAATATTTATTTTAACTTACCAAAAATAACAGAGCAACATTGTAATGAAGAAAATTGGTTTTTACCTTTAAAAAACCAATAAAAGAATACTTCATTAAAAATGAATCGCTGAATAGTATTTGCATTATTTTTCTCATAGTCTCTGCCAAAGTATTGCATGAAAACCGAGACAAAGTTCTGATCTATAAAATAATAAAATATAAGCACATGTATAAAGATTGTATATTTATATTTATTTATTTGAATGACATACCACATTAGATCGGTTTAAGGCATCATTTGTTAATTTATCTTTTGCTTTTTGTAAATCGTCATTATTAATAATATTAATATCTACTTTATCTGAATAAATGATATCTGGTTGTCCTGAAAGTTTACCATCAATTTTCTCAAGTAGAGTTTCTAGAACATCCATGCGAGTATGTATATTTTGTAAATCATACTTCAGGGTAATCTCAAACTTCTTCTTATGTTTTTTTTAAATCTGAAATAATAATAAAGTAGTTAGGTTATACAAATTACAATATTAATAAAATAATTATGATTATAAAAATTGTTTACATAAATGATTTTACTATACCTTCATCRCTATCAAGTTCAGGCTGAGAAGAGATAAAATGGTTTTTGTTAACACTTTGACTGCGGCATGGTTTGACCTGAGCGACCCCCGTATGCGGAACATTTTTTTTTGTCAAAAAGGTTCCTTTTACTCTACTTTACTTATATCAGTACTTACTTTTACTAATGTTTTGTTTTTTGGCAATAAAAAACGATTGTCGACGCGTAGTCGACGTCAGCATCATAGTATGGCGTTTTTCCCAGATGCGGGATGTCGACTATGCGTCGACAATGTTTGGATTTCTATTACTGCGTCTAAATGCCTTTATGATAAATAGCCTGTTAACGAAAATTATGTTGGAATTTGTTACGTAAAATATGAAAATAAATATATAATATTAATTTATTATTTATATAGGTAGTAATATATTTATTAAATATTAATATATTTCATAATAGAACAACTGAAATTAAATAACTGACAACAGTAAATAAAAATAAATGAAAACTTAATAGAATAAAAATAATCATATATTAAAACCTTTAAAAACATAGCAAACGCTTCGCAAATAAAAATAATTAAAAAAAACTTAACAAAACATAAAATAAAACCGTTCAAAATTGTATATACAATAATAAATCAATAACTAGTAGCCATGGTATATTTTATAACACGTACCTAAGCACAATCCTGGCTTTTCTGGGCATTCGTCGCAATAATATGTTGTTTCAACTCTTTTTTTGTATTTCTCGGAACTGAAGAGATGACATGTAGTCCCTGTTTACCTGTTTTTTGTGTGGGAGTTACGATTTTTGGCCGATGGTTATATATTAATTTGTTGATCACAGCATCTCTGAAGTCTAACAATCTGGTGTTGCGTTTTCCAGGCTGTTGCTTGTATAATATATACGCATTATTCATAATTACATGAAACATATGTAACCCGATCTTAGCATACCACCTTAGTATTTTCCTTACACAAGGATAGTAGCTCATGAGTTGGTCACTACGGTCCACACCATAAATTCATTATATTTTTGTACAGATTCCGGCTTTTTTGATACCTTGCCACTTCTTGCCCTGTATTCATTCATAGTATCCCCAAACTCTGACGATATCATAATCACATCTCTTTTATCGTGCCATTTCATAACACAGATCCCCTTACTGTTAAATGCCGATGTCAACTCTCCTTTTTTCAGCTTTTTACTGACCACATCTGACGGGTTGCCTTTTATATTTCCTCGAAGAGTCCCTGTTACATATGTATTTTTATCTAATAAATATTCGGTAAGTTCAATGGAGTTATAAAAGTTATCCATATACACCGAATATCCCACTCCATAATAGTCGTCAAGCAAGTATTTTACGACTTTATCGACATGGCCCTTACCACCCACAATTRGATCACTTGATCCACAATAAATCCTTGTATTTAGGACAAAGCCATCCGGTTGTGTGAGCACATAAAATTTTATGCCGAATTTGTGTTTTTTATTCTGAATGTATTGGCGGAAATAGAGCCGTCCACGCCAAAGAAGCATAGATTCATCTAGACTCAATTCTTTAGTAGGATAGTATACTTCTTTCATTCTATTATGAAATAGATCAAACAATGTTGTAATTTTATATAGGGGGTCGTCAGGTTTCGGGCCTCCAGTAGGCGGGTTTTCGGCGAAGTATAAACATCGCAATATTAATAAAAATCTATCTCTACTCATTGCATTTCTAAAAACATTAAAATTGTACAAATCATTTGTTTGCCAATAATGGGAGGTGGTCGGAGCAGATATATGTCCGGTTAGAAATATCAAGCCCAAAAAAACTTCCATGTCGTCTCTCGTTATATTTTTCCAGTTTTTTATACGTGATTTTGATTTTTTACTTTGACTGCATAAAATTTTACCTTGCCGATTTTTTTCCGAAACTATCATATTAAAAATATCGTCCGTAAATAGGTGAAAAAAATAATCTATAGGTTCATCTGAGGTTGGAACCTGAAGCATACCCGTAGAGCCAACAAAAGGAATTAATGAAGCTTTTTTAGGAGTCGGAGTCCATACTTGCAGATTTTGGGGCTGAATTACTGTGGACAAGGGCTCCCGCAGGTGAAAATTCAGGGGGGGGGACAGCCTTAATTTTTATAAATAATCAAACACATTTATACTAATTAAATACTTTTATTAATAATCAAACACTTTTATACTAATTAAATACTTTTATTAATAATCAAACACTTTTATACTAATTAAATA